TTAAATTCTGCATGGACATAGAAAGGGAGAAAAAAGATTGAAGAAAAAACTCTGGTCATGCATTTTAGTATGTAAAGTTTCCTTATTTAGAAGCTGTTTTCTTCTTGATGGCTCTTGACATGCCCAGGAGTTAACTGATTACCTGCAGGTGTCTCTTCTCATTTTTTTTTCTCCTCTCTTAATGCCTTTGGTACTTTGCTGGTGGTAAGAACTGAGGGTACTCGCCTCCCATTACACATCTGATTGGATGCCCTAGACATTCTTGCAGCATTTCTCAGTGGCCTTCTGGCTCTGTGCATGTAAAGAGATGACTCAGAATTCTTTCAGCTTCATGGCAACAATCCCTATCACTTGCACCTAGGTGTTTGAGCATGTTATTTCTTGTTTGAAATCTCTTTTAGTTATTATATAGTAATAAAAAGTAGAAGGTATGAGTGTAAAAAAAAATACATATATATAATAATGATGAGAAATCTCCACCACCAGCTCAGGCTACCCAGGGCCCCATCCAGCCTGGCCCTGAGCGCATCCAGGGATGGGGCACCACAGCTTCTCTGGGCAGCTGTGCCAATGCCTCACTGCTTTCTGAGAACAGAATTTTGTCCTCACATCAAAACAGTCGAACAGTATTTCTAAAATAGGTGATTAAAATTATATTAACTTTATTTTTTTTCTCTTTAGCATAGATTAAAAAAAAAAGTATGCCTCTTCTCCTCTCTGATATTTTTTGTTAGGTCTCACTTGTCTACATCAGCTGCCTCACAGGAAGAGATTGTTCTTTATTGCTGACCTGGGATTAAGTTCCTGGGTGCTTCATTATCAAAATTGAGTTTTCATTTCCAGAATACAGAAACATCTTTGTCCTGCTCATAGATTCATATGTGGCATATTTTAAAAACATAATTTGGGTATAAATAAAACAAAGCTCTTCTGAACTGTATTGGTTCCCATTTGACAGTAGAAATCAAAGGTAGATTAAAATATGATGTCAGAATACATAAGAATAGCAGGACAACTTTTATTTCCACTTGATCCTATCAGGTTCCTGTTTCAGTTTATTCTGTAAATGATTAATAAGAAGTGATAACATCGTGCTTTTTTAAACAGTTTTAGACATAAAAGCTCATTTTTAGAATGGCTGCTTATAAAAGAGATTTACTGGGTGTGTAAAGAGTTTCTAAGGTCATCCAAACCAGGAAGAAATAAAATGCAGTGAATCCAAGCAATAGATGTAAAATCTTGGCAGCTAGGAGAATAAGAGGAGGGGAGGAAGCCTGGGATGATGTTGTATGTATAATCTTCTGTCCAAGCAGAAATCTGGAAATTGCACAGCTACAGGGGTGCAAGTAGCTGAGTAATGTAACTTGCTTCTTTAAGAAGCTTGGAAGCACCTTAGGGTGCTTCTAAAAGGAGTGATTTCAGTGGGGAAAAAAGAATAGTGATGTCTTTTCCTCTGAGTGGTGAACTGGGGCTATGTACTGTGGAAAACTTCTAGAAATTCTGAAATTGTTTAGACTCAGGAATGAAAGGTAAATGATACCTTCATGACTCTTGCTTCCACAGGATGTTTTCTCATGAGGAATTTTGATGAGAGTGAAAAGTGTCATGTCTCATCTTCTTTTCTCCTGCTTTCACAGCTGTAGTCATTCCTGGTTTGCATTAGCACTGTGTTGCCTTTCAGTTATTCAGCACTCACATGTTATCTCACTGCTGTTTCAGTGGAGATGGTAGTGTACAACTGAACCTATGGAGAAAAGAGATGGAGTTAAGATGTGACTTCTGTAGGCTCATAGAGGAGATCTGAGGTAACTTGATAGGCCAGGTGGAGATAGAATCCACTTGTTCCTTCGTACATAAAGAAGCCCCGAAGTTCAGCAGCAGACCTGCTTTCTCTAGGCAGTGCAGTTGATCTGCCTGCATCTGGAGGAACATACAGGGCTTTTGTTTGGATTGAACATGAAAACCTAAATTGTTTTGATGTTTTTTTTTTTTTCAGTCAAAATGTTACCTTGAGTGTTGCAGGAATATCATTACATGGTCATAATGTGAGTTAACACCAGTGCAGTCAAGTTCTAATACACTGTACATACTATACATACTGGGGTTTATACCAGCGTACCCCAGCAGTCTATTTTAATCCAGGCAATTAGCTTTGATTGTGAAACTTTCAAGTAGTCTTTTAGGGGTTTGCAGTGAAACATTTTCATAGTCTGGTTGACTCCAGAGCTCGTACATGTTTTAAAGTAATGCTTGTTAATGCATTTTAACTAACAGATTTGGTTTAACCTCTGGAAATCTTTGTCAGACACTTGTAAACACAGACAACTCTATTTATTTAAGCCCTGATGACCAGCTTTCTTATGCACTCTGTGCACTGTTCACATGAAATGCCAAGATGAGCCAGGAAGGGAATTAGCAAAGTTGCTTACATCCTAGTTGAACAGAAATTCGATTGGCAGTAAGGGGTTTTATTAATGGAAATGGTCTCAGCTGCTATGTATGCTCCTACACGTGTGTGTAGGACACAGGCACCAAAATCCAGGGATATCTTTGTACAAGGGAATATTCTTCAATACAGTGCAGTGTTGTGCAAATTTTCCCTTTCTTTTGATTTTTGCCTTTTCTAGTATGTTCACCAGGGAGTATGGCCATAGCCTTAAGGCTTCAGCATCTTCCTAAAAAAAGAAGCTGTTTCAAAATGAAAATAAACAGAACTTGGCTGAATCTCCCCTGGCACAAGTTGAGGCTATTCCCTCTCATCCTATTGCTACTTACTTGGAAGAAGAGGCCGACCCCTACCTCACCACAACCTCCCTTCAGGTAGTTATAGAGAGATAAGGTCAGCCCTGAGCCTTCTTTTCTTTGGACTAAACAGTCCTAGCTCCCTCAGTCGCTCCAGACCCCTCACCAGCTTCACTGCCCTTCTCTGAACGTGCTCTGGGGGGGCCTCCATGTCATTCCTGTAGAGAGGGGCCCAAAACTGAACACTGTACTTGAGGTGCAGCCTCACCAGGGCTGAATACAGAGAACTCTCTTTAGAGTCACAGCTGAGTCTGCCTCCATCATTTTCTTCACCCCATCAGCTATTTATACACGTGAACAAGATTGCTCCTGAGCCTTCTTCAGGCCAGGCATTCTTAGCACTCTCAGCCTCTCCTTGTATGTCTGGTGCTCCAAACCTTTGTTGCAGTCACTCCAGTACATCTTCCTTTTGCTGAGGAACCCAAATCTTGACCCAGCACTGCAGCTGTGGTCCCACTAGGGCTGAGCAGGGAGAGGGGAAGGATCACCTGCCTTGTTCTGCTGGCAGTTCCTGCTTCTTGATGCAGCCCAGGATCATGTTGCTCTTTCTTGCTGTAAGGACTCACTGCTGGTTTATGTTCCAGTTGGTGCCCACCAGGACTCCCAGGCCCTTTTCTGCAAAGCTGCTCCCTGGCCCATCAGGCACATCTTGATGCTTGGATTTATTCCTTCCCAGATGCAGTTTGCGTTTCCCTTTTTTGAACACCACGAGGTCTCTGTTAGTCCATTTCTCCAGCCTGCCAGGGTCCTTCTGTGTGGCAGTACAGCCTGCCCTTATAGAGGCAAAATTAGAGGTGTTGTTGTTTCATATCTGTAAATGGCAGCTTTTCAGATGCTATTATCAATCATAAGTTATCCTAGTTAAAACAGCAATGTTGCACCACTTTATGGGATTCTTTAAATAATTCCTATGTTTTTTAACAGCTTTGTTCTGCTTATAGGTGGGAAAGTGTGGCATATATTGCAGAAGTTGAAAATGTTTTACAAATTGAAATGGACTTGAAGATCAAGTTTTGTTTCTGCAAAACACATTATTTACCAACTTTATTTTCTCTCATAAAATAACTCTCATTATCCTTGTTCTTAGCTAGTTTATTTTTACTTACAAAAACACCAGTACACTGATCACTGAAGGCAGCATAATGATTCATAGAATTTTTGGAGTGGATGGAAATGTCTCCTGCATCTTATTTTGAAAACTCATTTCTACATTTCTCTGTAATTAGTGTCATAAACGGAGAGAATTTCATGCTCTGCCATTATTTTCCAGTAAAGGCAATTGTTCAGTTCATGAACTACTTAAATATTCTGACTTTTTACCTAATATTTACTGATGCTGGGGGGAGTTTTGTGTATGACTAATAAAATAATTGGTTCACATCCTTCTTACAACATTCTAAAAAATGTTTGTGGATTTACTGTCTAATCTGAGCTATCTTTTAACCAGCTGAAACATGTCTTAATTTTTCTATGTGATCAGCCAGTTCATAAACTGCAAGTGTAGCATTACGATGAAGATACATTGCTTCAGCTTTTCTATTTCTTATTTGTACGTTTGAGTGCACAAAAGAGCTGTGTCAAGACTTCTAGCCTACCTGTTTAACAGCAAATGCCAGGAGAATACCACTTCAGTGAGTCTGAGGTGAGCCAGGTTGCAGTACCTAGGTTAGCATGATGAAGGGCATACCTGTAGACAGTCAGCATTGCCCAGCTGGTAATGCAGTAAATTGATTTGAGTCTCAATCCTGTACTACTTGCCAGCTTCCATTTTTCTTCTGTTCAGAAGGACACCAGTGGTGCCAGGAAAATCAGAGCAGTTTTGCTCTGTTACTCCTGGACAAAAAAAATTAGCAAATAGCTTATTAACAGGTACCAAAATGCACAAGCATTTTCATACAGTAATTACAGTTACCATGTACAGTGTTATGGTAATATTTGAGACACTGCAGGTCTTGGTGATTGCATCACATTTTAAACTGTCATTAAGGCTTCAGAGCTGGTGTTGAAAAGCTATAGTACAGTGACAATCTCAGTATTCTGTGTCCTGACAGCAAAACAGTGCAAAACTGAGTTATACAGCAGCTGTTTCAGGCTCCTTCTCTTAACTGTAGGGTTTATTTTCTGTGGGGTGATAAAATATTATAGAAATACAAAAAATAAAACGGTACTGATGAGTTTTTGCTTTCTGTGTCTTTCAGGACTCCTCCAGGATGGTTTCAAGCAGATATAAAAGGTATGAGATCTTTGTACTCAACACACCTATTCACATACATAGTTGTCCCAGAAAGACTTTGGCCACCAAGTCAAACATGAGCTACCGATGAGCTCTTTCCACAAAAGATGCTGCATTAGGGAAAGTATAGACAACAGGCCAGGGGAAGTAATCCTGTCTGTTCAGTTTTGGTGAGGCCACACCTGGAGAGCTGTGTCCAGTTCTGGACGTATTGCTGAAGAGCTCAATGAAGGACCACCAAGATGATTTGAGACTAGAGTACCCCCTTATTATGGGACTGCTCTGCCTAGAGAAGAGTTATCTTGAGCATGTTTCATCAATGTCTATAAATACATGAAGATTGCAGAAAGGATGGAGCCAAACTCTTTTCAGTAGTGCCAATTGTTAGGACAAGAAGCAGTGGGCACAAGCAGGAGCCTAGGAGGTTCCCTCTGAACACCAGTAAGCTCTTCTGTACTGTGTGGCTGATGGAGCACTGGCACAAATTGCCTCAGAGTGCCTGTGGGATCTTCTGCTTGTGTATCTTCAGAAGCTGCATGAGTATGGTCCTGGACACTCTGCTCTGTGTGTCCCTGCTTAAACAGGGGTTGGAGCAGAATAAACAGGGATTGGAGCAGAAGGACCCAATGGGCCCTGCCAACCTGAATCCTATTGTGAAAGCAGATGAAATACGTTGTTTTTTGAAAGCATAGGGCATTATACTACTGCTGAAGACATAGCCTGATTTGGAGTAAGGACTGGAGTGATGCACCAAACTTACAAAACCCTCCCTGGTATATCACTATTTAAAAAAAAAAAGAAAAAGAAAAACCTCAGCTAGTGTTTTATTGGGTGTTACTAGTGCCAAGCAGTTTTCCAAGGCAATATCTGAGTATTTCGGTCTACGCATAACCTAGGAGCCAGCAGCTTAACAGTTGAGTTATGAATCTGAAGTTCAATAGAGGTAATCTTGTTGCTTTCCACAGTACTACTGACAGTAATTTCTGTGATTTCATCATCTTAATATTTCATTTGCAGGAGATGCTGTTCACTTAGTGTGTCCTTTATGTTATTTGTTCATCTTTGAGACAAGTGTTACTCTTGTCATTTTTCCAGTTTATCAATCAGAAAAATATTACAGATGCTGATTCTGTACTGTACATTTTGTGAAATTTTTGTCCATGTGCAGCGTATAGACATGGCTATCATATTTATTAAAAATGTAAAGGTAACATGGACTTTAGAACACTCAACTGAAGCAAGGCATTTTAATAAGTACATGTTTATTTTCACATATAAGTGTATTCTTTTATACATTCTTTATTCGTGTAAAATATGTGGATGGAGCTCCTTCAATTGTCTAGTGTTCACTGGTGTATTTTCCATCCCTCAAAATTACACACCTATTGTTTTATGCTTTAGGTTTCTTCTTGTGGTGCTTTCTTTTTATATTCAGGTTCCTGGATTTTGATAAACATGGCCAAATGGTGCTTTTTATTGTTTGAGGGTTTTTTTGAATCAGTTTGTTATAGCAGAATGGGTGGACTTATTTTCACAACGTTAATACCTATGAAATTTCATGATTTTTTTTTATCAAGCACATTTTAGTTGAATCTTCACTTTCTCTTCTTATTGTTCTTTGTATCTGATGGATACTTATTTGTGTGTCACGGTATTTGGTGGCTTTTTGCAAAGCTTTATCTTCACTCGATATTCACTTGCAAAAAGTTGTGTCTAGGGTGAGAGAAGTTTGAGCAATCACACGCATTTGTAACATACCTGAAAACAAACTAATTCTGATTAACACTGCAAGAATAGAAGACTCTTGAGTTAGGAAATGCTAAAATAAGAAATGTTTGTGTAGTCTTTAGTCAGCTTTAGTTATGTAGAATGTGCATTCTTTGTTCGTGAACTTTGCCCCTCAAGACTTGCAACGCATTCAGGAGGAATCTAACTTGCTGTGAGCTGCTCTTTAATATTTTTTTTGTATGTTGCCATATATCTTACTTGTTGTAGAATCTTCAAACCTCATGTTGAAAACAAAGAATTATTTTCCTGTGAAGTCATCACAGCACACAATACCCAAACATTGGTGGATTTTTATTCTAAAAGTAGGTCCATGAGATGTACAATAGTCAGTTCTTCACAGACAGAGGCTCAGTACTGGTTGTGTTAAGAGGTAAAAGTACCTATCTATTTTCTTCTGTATTCTAAAATTTCTCCCTCCTAAGTAATTTTTTGGTTAAAAGCACTTGAACAAGACATGTCTCCCAGTGGCTGCAGTGTAAAATCTTAAAGGAATTGGGACCAGCATCCTCTTCTCTTCTGCCAGTATGTGGGTTGTTCTTGTCTTCCATTGTCTGCAATACAAGAATGTTCTAGAGAAAGCAGCCTGCTCACATTCACTGTGGTGTAGATCTCTGTTATGTTCAAAATGTAGCAGAAGTCCTTTGGAAACAGGAAGTTCAATTCTGTGATTATAATTATGAGCCGCTTCAAGTCCCAGATGTGTTCAACTTAATGGACTTTTAACAGTTCTGTTCATACTTAGATTTTCAAAGCGTATCAAGAGAGCAGCAAGTTATAACTTCTGGACAACCACTCTGAGATCCTATTTGAAGCTGTTCTTTGCACTGTTCTAACCGCAGGCAGTCAGTACTTCCTGGATGAGGAGGAGAGAAGCTGTGCTAGCAGACTTTTGCTGTCAGTTGCCTGTTAAAGTGGAAATGCAGTATTTTCTTAAAATCCCTGCTCTGTTCTAGACCCCCATGGGAAAAATGTATTATTTGTCAGAAAATTTCCAATCATTTTCCCCCATCTTTATTGTTCATAATCAGTTGCTTTCTCCCTCTTTCCCAGTTGTTCCTCACTAGAAGTGACATCTCAGCATTTTTGTTCACTTTACTCATTTCCATTTCCTGGCCCAGTTAGACAAAGACAGCCTTTTCCCTCTTCCCTCCTTTTCCTGCGTTCTCCTGTTAAACCATTAGGGTGCTAGACTTCTCTGTCTCCATCTTCTGGTCTCTAATCTTGGATTACCAATACCATCTCAGACTTCCAGTACGTTCCTTTTCCCTTCCCATGTAGCTGTTTTCAAGTCTACTAAAATACTCTTCTTTCTGGGCCTAAAAAGACAAGAGATGTGTCAGCTGCAGAGAAGGAAGGGTATGTGCTGGTCTATTCCGGTGGAGTTCCTGATCTCATCATTTGTTCTAGGGCTCAAGGAAGTGCACACATTTTACTACCTATTTAATCAGACAAACTGAGTACTTTGCCTTGTATGGATGCAGTGATACATGGTGAAACATTTATATGGTATTCCTGAGAAACCCATTTCACTGAGTGCCTCTTGATGGGAAGACATGTTTACAAATGAAGTCTGCTGGCTGTTCTGTTATTCTACTTATGTTCTGGCTGACTTGGACAAACTGAGCCTGTCTCCTTATACAATAAAGTAAATAAACGCTTGGGATGAGAATCTGTAACTGTAGTCTGTCTACTGAATTTGCTTTAAAATTTTCTACACTCCCACCCTGGAATTTTGTATTTGGGTTCCTTTGTAGTTGCATGAGTTAACCACAGAAAATATTTTCAGAATGAAGTGATGGTTTTGTTGTGATTTGGAGTGGTACTGTAGGATGTATTTAAAAATATGACCAGTATCTTCAGGACTGTGCTTACATGAAGGCTGTGGGACATGCTCCTGAACATATTGGAGAGTTATGACCAGTGGGCTGTGCTGATCATCAGCTACATGTGATTTAAATGTGCAGGTGTCCTTCTCTGGCCCATATCTATTTCTACATCTTTAGTTTTTCCCTAAGCTTTTCTTAACACAAAGTGCTTCATCTTGGCTATTCTAGCTACTGTTATTATAGCTGAGTATACCACTAGGAAAGGCCTTGTGTGTAGTTATTATAAACCAGGAGGAACACTGCATTAGTAAGCATAGTTTTCTGAGTCAGTTCTGACTGTATCGGGTCAAGGGAGGTGATCCTGTCCCTCTGTTCTGTAGTGCTGAGACCTCACCTGGAGTACTGCATCCAGATATGGAGTCCTCAGTACAGGAGAGACACAGACCCGTTGGAGCACAAAAACAATTAAAGGAATGGAACACCTCACTGTGAGGACAGGCTGAGACAGCTGGGGCTGTTCAGCCAGGAGAAGAGAAGGCTGCAAGGTGACCGGATAGCTGCCTGTCAGTATGCTTTCAAGAAGGAAGAGGACAGATCTTTGGCAGGGTCTGTTGTGATAGGGCAAGGGGAAATGGTTTCAAACTTAAAGAAGGTAGATTTAGGTTGGCTGTAAGGAAAAAGTCTTTTACTTTGTGGGTGGTGAGGCACTGGCACAGGCTGCGCACAGATATGGTGGATGCCTCATCCCTGGAGACGTAAAAGGCCAGGCTGGACCACGCTCTGAGCAACCTGATCTACCTGTACATGTCTCTGTTCATTGCAGGGGATTTAAAGGTCCCTTCCAAATCTAAGATTCTATGAATGACAAAGTGTATTCTGTTTCTTGAAATATTGCAATCTACGTGTAAGCATGAATTATGTTTCTCTTGTATTCTGTGAATGAATAAGTTTGCAAGTAACAGCAAAGCAGTATGTGTATATGGATGTCAGATTTCTTTGAGAAATACAGAGGGCTTGTTTTAATGGCTTACTTTAAAGACTACCTGTCTGCTTTGGAGTGCTACTGAGCTTTCTTTTTAGACATATCTTAAATTAAAAGTGAAACTTCGCAGAGTAGGGTTAAAAGTAATTCATAACTTTTGCATGGTTCATGCAGATAAAGCTGGATCAGTTTATAAAAAGAGATTAAAATCTCTTAGTGGTTCAGGGGTGTGTTCCTCTTATAAGTTTGTTTATTAGTGGAAATGAGTACAATATGGTGTGGCTTTATGACTATCAAGCAGATTTCAGAGGGCTTTTCTCCTTGCTTGGGGTTGCACTGCACACTGACATGGAATCCAGTGGGTCCAGACCCTGCCCACTGATGTCTGCAGGCAGCATTGTGCTCTTATTCAGCAATCCTGCAAGAGATGGAAAATAGTGGAAGAGGTCACTCATTCCCAGATGGAGGTGCAGTGAAGGTGCAGATAAAGCCCTGCTGAAGTTCTCTTGTTCATTGTTTTCTGATTACTAAAAAGCTGAAACTACATTGAAAATGTAGTAACTCTAACAGTTAACGTGCTGCATGCTAACCTTGCTCTCTTTAACTGAGAAAGAACGCAGCTGGAACATGTTGTCCTAACAGTGTGCCCAGACTTGCCCTCTTGCCTGTACCTGGGAGCTTTATGGGCAGGCCCAGTCTGCTCGGGGTGCTCGCTCAGCTATCTCACCCAGCTTGCCACATGTGGTGGGAGAGCTGCTGTACAGAAACCAGCTCTTAAACAGGCCGGGGGTAAGAGGGGTTATTGAGGTGCTTTTTTTGGCTGTGATAGCCCTCTTTTTGCTCAGATTGATGTTACAACGCTGCTGAAACACTTTGGGTTTGTTTTTACAGAAGCTTAGGATGGTCTGAGTCGATCACGCCACAGTTCCTCCCTGTCCCTGGGGCCTCAGGCAGCCGCTGTGGGTCAGGGTCAGGACTTTGCTGCTCTGTCACCTTCGGGCCAGGGCCAGGGAGGTGGCTGTGAGCGTGCAGCTGTAGAGGCCAGGCCTGCTCTTCTCTGGCTCAGCACTGATGGGCGCTGACATGGCCCCACAGGCCTGAGGAGCAGCAGTCCAAGGTCTCTCATTTTTCCAAAGAAGCTGTTAGCAGCTGGCTGGATTCCAAAGTGACACAGTTAATCGCAAATTTCCAAATGAAGTGCAGTTACAAGATGCTGGAAATAAAAGTAAATGTGTTATAGTTGAAATCAATGACATTTGGTTGTGACTAGGTGATATTAATTGGATGAAATTGCCATTTGGATGGTGCTTAAGGAAAATATTCAGAGAACCAAGATACATTGAAATAACAAGATTTATTCCACCTTTCTGCAATAATGCTATTAAAGCTGACCCTGTCTGAATAGCAGGCTTTATTTTCTTTTAAAGGAAATGGGTAGGATGCCATTCTAAAGCAGAGCTATTATTTCACATAAGACTTATCAGAAGCTGCAGTGTGGGTCAATTTCTTTGCTGTTTTGTTACAACGAACAAAATAATGAACTTCATTTCTGTTACTTTCCTTGTGTAAGGTTATGGACTAACACCTTAAAATTTTAAGATTCCATTTCCTAGAAGTCTTTGTGATAACATTCTTTTCATATTGATACTGAAAAGGAATATGTTCGGTGGGGTCCACTCCCCAGTGAAATAAGCAAGGAAATTTTTAAGTGTGATTCAGGGAAAATGCAGAAAATGTCTTAATTTTTGGTATTAATGAAACCTTTCCTAGCTGGTTATTCTTTCTTTTAGCTTTCCTTTAGGAGCACCTGCCAACAGCACTCGCTGGAGTTGGGTTGAGATATTCCACTATTGTCAAAAGGGATCATTTCTGAGTGATGAAAAATTGAGTCTTATTTTCACGTGGTCTGTTCTTATGACATTGACAGCATGAAACAACACATCTTTCAAGTAGCTAAATAATCTAGAATTTATAGAGTTAAGCTAAAATATTTCTCTTATGTTGTGTTGCAACATGCGTATCCGGTCCTAGAAATGTTTTCAAAAAAAATCTTCTAGATGGAGAATAAACAGTGCTAAATATGGTAATAACATTAAGCTACAAAATTCCTTACAATTGTGTCAGTGTGCCTTGGAAACTTCACACGTACTGGAGCAAAGCAATATTTGTATCCACGAGAAGACATTCTTTTGCCAGATATGCCTGCTTTTGATTTGCACTGAATCCATCTAGATTTGCACGTTGTCAGCAGGGGTTTTCTAGAGTTGTGAAATGCAAAACTGTTAAACAAAAATATTAATCATATAATTCCTATGTTTTAAAGGAGATGTTGTAAGGATATTTGAGGTGCTTTTATTCTTTCCATGAACTAGAAATGATAATCAGTTAAGATTCCATTGCAGTGCTTTTTAAGGAATAGATACATGATCTGAAGCAGAAAACTCACCACCTTTTAGTCTATTTATCACTTCAAATGATAAATAGGCTAAAAAATACATATATTTTTAATCAGAAGAGCATCACTCCAAATATTTTGTGCTGTTTTTTTCCTGTGGTGCTTGTAAACTGTTGTACTTGATCTGGCTGGAATGCAGCTGACTTTCTTCATAGCAGTCAGTATGGCACTGTGTTTCTTCCATGAATGAAGATTGAGAGAGTTGGGCTTGTTCAGAAAAAAAGCTGGGGAGACCTTGTTGCAATATTTTGATATACAAAGGGAAAAAGACCTTTTTGCCATTGTCTGTGCTAGACAGGATAAAGGGCAACCATCTTAAACTGAAAGAGGATAGGTTTAGATTGGATACACAGAAGGAAATTTTCACTCTGAAGGTAGTAAGGCAATGGCAAAGGCTGCCCAGAGAAGTTGTGTGTGCTCCATACCTAGAGGTCTTCGAGGCCAGGTTGGGTGGGACTTTGGGTAACTTGATCCTAGTGAAAGATGTCTCTTGCTGTAGATGGTCTTTGGTTTCTTCCAATCCAAACCAGTAAGTGCACAGTATTAAGAGCTTTTCTCCTCTACCTTCACTTCCACCACACGGGCATGAGGTTGAGAGTGGACGTGGATGGGACATTCTTATCGTACAGTGTCTTGCTCAGTGATCAAATCGGAGTAGCAGAAAAAGAACTGCTGGGGGTTTGTGTTGTCCTCCAGAGCAGGCTTGGCACTTGTCAGCATAATGAGTGTCAGATTGATGAGTAATTGCCTTTGCACTGCTTGGTTTTTTTCCCCCCTCCATCTTGACTTCAGGTGCTTATCTGCTGGTTGGGTTACCCCACCACACCTGGCTTGCTCAAGTCCTGTTGAGCTGGTTTGTTTGTTTGTTTGTTTTCAAAGGTTTAATGAAAAATATATAAATTGCCACTAAAAAAAAAGAAGCAAGTCAGTACCCTCTCATGAATTCTTAAAGAGTACTAAACAGCTATTTGCTGTAGCAATGAGAATTTTCCAAATGTCTTGCTTTAAGGATTCAGGCTATATGCCTCCTGAATTTTTAACTGAAATAATTTTGGGGCAAACAAGTTCCATTTCACAGGAATACAGTTTTAGAAAAGATCAAAAAGTTCTCTTCAGTAAATTCGTATTTGCTGCTTAAATTACCCTGCTTAGAGAAGAAGATACTGCATAGCGATCAACTCAGACAGACTACTATAAAATGTTAATCTAAGAAAGTTATGAACTACAGCATTTTACGATAAGGAGATCCACCCTGGTTTCTTAATACAGATTGTATCTTGAGACAGTCTTGTGCATGATTCCCTGAGGCAGTGAAGTTAGTTAGTTCTCAGCAACACAAAGCTGTGAAAGCTGTGCTCTGCATTTTCTTGTACTGACCTCTTAAGTGCTTTGGAAAGCACTCTGTTGTTGTTGTTTCTACCTTTTCCATTTTGTTAAATCTGTAAATAAGTGTCTGCTTTGCTCTGTGCCTTTTAGTACAGGTAATGCTCCAGAAGATGATGCTCTAAATAGATATTCCCGAACAGAGAGGACAACTTACAGCAGATACAGCAGGGATGCAAACTCTTCTGGGAGTTCTGTACCAAGTAATGCTTTGGAAAAGAGAATTGAGGAACTTGAAAGGGTGAGTACCAACTAATGTCTGCATGGTATGCATCTGAAATAAAGTACCTTTGAAACCCTGTGGGGAAATCAGTAGTGAATTAATACAGAAATGATGATTGATGCTTGAAGTCCAGCTGCTTACATGTACAAATATATGTAAAGAAGCAAGCAGACAGAAAGAATGTGAGCTTTCTAACCATCATAAACGTTTTGTTTTCATTTGGCTTGGAAGTACAAAATAGCTGAGGTAAAGATAATACAGCAAGAGCTGGCTGTGCTGTGTGTATTTGTCGTATGCACCTCGTGACACACAGATGTGGGGCAAATGACCCAGGGGGAGATGAGACTCACTGGTCAGAAAATAAGCAATGTTCTATCTGATTTACTTCTTATTTTGGATTTTATCATGTACTGAAGTGGTATAAAATTTAATTATTACCTTGTTGTTCACTGAATTGTTAGGCATCTAAAATATATTTCAAACAAAGTTTTCTTTATTCCAGACATTTTTAGTGCAAACATTTTTGAAATAACAATATTAAAGCTGTGTTTTTCACTTAAAACATTTTTTGGCTAAGTATGTCATCTGTGTAACATATTATGAGCTTCTGTTTCTTCTTCTGAAGTGTATTTTTCTGAGTAACTAGCTAAATTTTTTTGAATTTGTATGGATGAAGTTGTTATGGCCTGCCCTGCAGAAGTTGACTGAGTAAATTTGAATAAGCTTTTAGGTTGTTTTTTTTTTTTTTTTTTTTAAATGAGGAAAATGTAAAACTTGCTTTTATTTTTTTCTTTAAGACTTAGGGAAGCCAGATTTGGGTGAAATTTGCTATAATCTTCCAAATTCAAATAATTTTTCTTCTAAAACAATTCAGTTACAAATAACAGAAAATAGAGGAAGATTTAAAGATTGCTTTTCAGAGTCCCAAACTCTGATCTGGTGAATTTCTGATGGACATTTTCATTTTTTTCTTATTCAAGCCCCCATATCTCATGAGGTCTTCTTTTCCACATTAACTAGTATTAAACAAAATTGAAAGGAAAAAATATATATAAAATGTGGAAACTGAGACTTTACATTAACATATTTGTCTCTTAGACTCCCATCCAATTTTGGACTTGTGTAGGTGAAATTTTAATTAAGCATCTCTGGAATAGGAGATATCACACAAGTTTGATGTGAGTAAAATACTTTCTTAGATTCATTAGCTCCTTGCAGTGTAAAGGCTTGAAGGCTTTTGGGTTTGACTTGCTGTAGAAGCAGAATTACAGGTATTTGTGTGGTTTATGTCTTTGTGCATGTAGTGAGGGTGTGCTATTTTAATGACAATGAAATAAAACTGTCTTTAAAACAATTACCTTTGACACCAGTGTGTATTCTATTTTTAGGAACTTGCAAAGGAGAGACAGGAAAATGTAAGATTAATGAAGATGACACAGGATAAAGAGGAAGTAATTGGAAAACTGAAGGAAGAAATTGATTTATTAAACAGAGTAAGTACATAGTGTTTTATAAACGGGATAAAAACCTCTGCATTCTCAGTGCTTTTCTTCAGGTTCTCATAACCCCTTGGCAAAGTCACAAGAGAATTAAGGAATTAAGTGATTTTGGTTTTTTGTTCGTTTCTATATCTGTGTAACTTTTCAAGAGGCATGTTAATAAGTTATATTTTCCAGGTGGCTTCTGTTTGTCATCATTAACTTCCAGAACTTTTTAACTGTTGAGATACTTCTTATTGCTATTTTGTTGTTCTTGTTTGTTGTACAATGAGATTACAAAAGCATGTGTTCTTTACTGCCTCTTCCTTTCAAATTCAGTACACAGCATAGCAGGAATTAATGAAGTTTGGGGTTCAACAGTTTTCTCAGTAAATTGTTCCAAGGCTCATGTCAGGAAAAGCAATGATAGCTTTAATTTATTTGTAGTCAGTCCTAATCTACTAAGGTACTGTTATTAGTAGGTAATCTTGGACAGATTTGGGAGTGTGTAACTATTAATATTCTGACCCATATTGTCATACTTTTTGTTTTTGGTCCCAAAATAAAGGTGTAACAAGACAAGGGGCAGGAGACTTGGGTTATCTATGCTCAGTGCAGGATGTGAAGGCATGAGAAGAGGTTTAGGAGAACAAGGCTCACTTAGGAATGGGGCAGAGTAAGAAATTTTTGAAGTTAGTGTAAAATACCAATTTTAACAAGTCCCAGTTTAAAGGATGAACTGGGAACTGTTTCCTAGAATAGATTGGCGACCTTGTCTCAAATGTTTCAATTGATGTGCAGAGCCTGGATGTACTTGGGAAGTATGCTTCTGCTATTTATGCTCTAACTTTATGGGGTAGAGAGATACAGATCTTCCCGTTAAATTTAAACAAAATGGCCTCGGTGAATTCAGTATTAAAGGAGGCAATAATTTCATGTGCCTTGTGGTAGATTTTGATTTTGTGGTATTTGTTTGTAACAGTGGAGATCAACATACACAAAAGATAGAAAATTAATCTACAGGATTAAACCAGCTGTTATTTCTTTTTATAAAGAAAGATGGAATGTACAGACTTAATGAAATATTGTCTGTTTTGGAGAGATTTGTGATTTAATTGAGGAATCGGTCTTCATGCCATTTTTACATCTGACAAGGAATCTTTCACATCTAAGCTGACCTCTTCAATATTACTCGAGGAATCTGTTCACTCCTATGTAATGGGGAGCAAAGCTACTTCATACTGCTGATCACGTCTGATTTCCTGTCTCAGAGATCAGAAAGCAAAAAACACAGAAGTACCCAAATCACTGCAGGCCTGTGTTTTAAGACCTGTTTTGACACTTTCTAAGGCAGAAACAATGATTTTTTTTTTCCTACTGTATTTGAAGGATGATGTCTTAAACCCATAAAGTGTCTGATTAGATAGTAAAGTCAAATAGGCCTTGTGTACTGCCTGCATTTAAGTATGATGGCAATTTCTGTTTGTTGTGTGGAAAAAAATCAAAATATAGTAATTCCAGAAACCTTCTTAGTACAGAACAACTAAAACTGCATTGTTCAATGAGAGATATATACATGGAACTCCCTAGATAGTCTCCATTAAATGCAGGAGATAATATATATATATTTTTTCTCCACCAGCACAGCATTTATCGTAGCTATAACGTTATGTATTAGCTTTATTGCAGTGCAGCTATTAATGTTTGAATCCCACAGGTTTTTCTTAACATTGAAATAGCTGCCTTTTGACTTTCTGACCATCTTATTGATTTGTTTTACAAAAATTGAAGCCAACGTGTGTCAAGTGATACCTCCATTAAAGCAGTTACAATTTCTTTTTTAATAGCTTTTGGATTTTTCAATGCTTTTATATTAGCTATTCATGTGAATTTAGAAAAAGGAAAGCTTTAGAATAGTGAAAAAAAAAAGTTACAGAAGTATTACATCATTCCCATGATGGAAGGGCATGAAAGTTAATGTGGCAGTCATATTTGCCTAAGGCTTATGTTTGCAACTGTGATCATGAGAGTCAGCACTTAAACATACATCTGTTCTTCATAGAACATTGCTCTGTAGACCTGGCATCAGGATCACATGCTTTACGTGGAGGATAAGAGAAGCCCTGATGACTTAGTAAGCTTATGCAGTGATCTTTTTAAAAGGTTTTGCTTGTAAAGAACCTAAATGGAGGTCTTGAAATTTGACCATCTATGCATCTTTCCTGTTAATCAAAAAATGCTGTTATTGCATGTTAGATTGCAATGACGTGGAAAGAATTTCAAGTCAGATAGCCTAAATGCCATTTTATTGCCTAGCTTCCTGACTTCTCAGCCCTCATGTTTAGAGAAATGCTCTTTCTAGAAGTTTTGGTCAGTTTGTGACCGCAGATGCATCCTTCATTGGCAGAGACTTTGTGTTACACTTGAAAAGCTATTTTTACAAGAATCCTGAAAACTTGTTGGAAGACTTTATTTCTCTTTTTAAGTAAATACATTAATTTAATGTGAAAATATGATTATACTGAGAACAGTCAGTACAAACATGCTTAAAGAATGCTAGCTGCATTTATATTGAGAACCAGAGAAGTCTTTCTGCTGTAAATAACATCTTTTCATTCCAGTAGATTAACTACTAAAGTATGTCTGCCACCTTTTTATAAGGAAGGAGTAATTGCTTCATAAGCACCTCAAGGGAAAGGCATCTCAGGATACTTATGTTAAACATTTGTACACTAAGTTCAGCTGTCATTTAGTTTACACTTAATCATTTCTGGTCTTACTGTCACTATAGTTAAACATATGTTTGGATATAGTCTGTGAGTGAGAATTCACAGTCCAGCTAGTGTCAATGCTGTGTAGTTATAGGTTCCTTCTGTAGACCAGGCTTTCCTACTATTGCATCTTATTTACTAATAAATGTAAATTATTAGCATTGCAGTTATTAATTTTGAATAAGAAGCCTTAAATTACAGAGCAGCATAAACCACTTTCTTCTCTCAGTCCACTATTTCCTTAGATACTTAAACTGATTTAGTTATTTTTCCTGGATCACATTCAAGAACGTCTTTGAAATGTTATTTTATCATCATAAAATTTCAAAAACTATTTATATTCCATTTGGAGTAAATAACAGGTATTTTTATATAGAAGGCTGGTAGGTAAGCTTTAATTGAGCTACTTAATGGCTCTGTTAAAAGCATGGTCAATCACAATATTATATTCACTGATCTAGAAAGTACAGTTGTATTGATAATAGTATTTTCCCTCCCACCTTATTATTTATCTGCACAAGGGATAAAACAAATTGTGTTTTCTAAAATGACATAATAAACTGTATTTACAGTAGCTGCTTATCAAAACTTTTGCACGTGTAGATGTTTAACACTTGCACATGTTACAGCACTGCTTTTCCAGGAAGTCATTCCTGTGTGACACAGTATTACCTCTGTTAATACAAAGAGGAATTTCTGCTAGTAATTTTCTATTCCAGACTACAAAAACAAAAGATTAATTGCAAAGGTATTGGATTTGGGCTTGGCAAATTGAAGAGGCTTTTAAAAATCACAGAACTGATTAACACAGAGTCTCTAGAATGCACTTCTGGAGTGATCCCACTGAAAAAAGATAAAGAAAATACGTTCCTTATGTTAAACAGCACTTAACAACTGAAAGAAATAAGAGAAGAACATCTTTTCTCTATTACTGTTTTATGTTTAATCTAGCCTGACAACACCAGGGATTTGCAGAAAGATCAGAGGACATCTAATAGCTGATCAGAGTCCTGGTTCTTCCTCCTTTTGCCCGCCTTTCATTTTTCTTCTCCAAGTCCTGTCACTGATGTCACTATGTCCTCTTTTTTTTTTTTTTTTTGTTCTTATTCTGTTTGTTCCTTATTGTTTGTACAATACAATTATTTTTACTGAACCAATGCTAACAGCAACAGCCAGCTTCATTGTTTTCTCACTATAAAGACCTGGGAGAATTTGATAGGAAATCAAGTACTGAGATTGGAAACTAGTTAAATACAGTCAGTGATGGAAGGGGGATGAACACTTGTGGTAGGAGCAATCTATTTTGAGGATACATTTTTAGTGTATCCTTTCTTTCTGTAGTACCCTTTCTTTCAGTAGGAATTTAGGTAGAAGTTATGATATACCTTTTAATTTTTTGTTTTTTATTTTTTTCCACAGAAAATGAAAAAAAAAAAAAAGCCAGGTGGTTCTTTTCCTGAAATAAAAAACACAACAAGGATGCTTACTTAAAATATACAAACTGACTTTACTGCAGTAATAGCCAGCAATGTGTACATAAGCATGTGGGATATACAAGCACAGTGTAGGGAGCAGGGGTTGCAGCTAATGTATAAACTCCATGCCAAGTAATCACACCCTTCTATTTTGATTTCCTGTTGCATTAATTCGTGCTGTAGCTTCAGTTCTGCTCATACATTCCCATTTCAGTGTACTTGTTGTATATGTGAATGTAACTCTAATGTTTTTTAATTACTGTAACTCTTGGAAAAATGATGAGTTTAACAGATTGAATTACAGTGACACTAATTCATCCCAAACCCAACTTCTTGACTTTAGAGCTAAGATGTGAAATTCCTGCTGCTGCTAATTGTGAGTTTGTGTTTATGTCCACAGAAATGTTTCTCATTTTTCTTTCACAGGACCTAGATGATATAGAAGATGAAAATGAACAATTGAAACAAGAAAATAAAACCCTCTTAAAAATTGTTGGACAGCTGACAAGGTAGAAGATTCAAGCCTCAATGAGGAAAGATTTAAAAACTACTGATTGAATGTTAAGGTCAATATAGTAATACTTCCTGTGTTGCAGTATGTTATAATAACTGTCTTTATATTTATTGTTAGGAAACCAGATGAATGTTTATTTTCGTAGTACTTTCTTCTTGCAATGGATGGCATCAAAACTGGGGTTATATCTTTAGCTTTCATTTCATGGAAGAATGATGAAATTTTTGTCATATTACAAAATCCTAAATTCAGAAATTTGGGGGTTTTCTATCTTCAGATTACATCAGGATATACTAGGGTAGTTTAAAACTCATAGCACCAAGATCACTTTCAGTCCATGTGGGTGTATATTTTTGAAACGAATGAAAGCAATACAAAGAAGCTTTGTTTACACAGATCCAAAATATATTTTTTGTGAATTATTTCCTTTTTCGTTTCAGCAGCTGTAAAGTGGATGCCTTATTACTGATGTATAACATTTTGCAGATTGATTACTTGCTCTAAAAGCTCTTGTAATGTTGAGAGTTATTTTTTACTGTATCTGAAAGACTGACAGTAATAGAGTAGTAGCGATATTTTTCTGTATAGCAGTATTTTGTCAGGAGGGGGAGTTTTTATTAATAAAATAAATCACCTGTGGTATCAGCATTAATGAGTTCTTAGAATCACGTTGAAGTTGTGCACTGCAGTTTATTTTAAAGCTTTTGCTTTAGCAATGAAATGCAATTTTGCTATCAACCAGTAAATTTGTGTGCTGTGAGAATACAAACAAAGCCTGGAGCTTTCATCTTCGCAAAGACACTTCTGCAATGCATTGCTGTTTAAAAGCTGTTGTTTTAAGATTTGTAGTGATCATAACCAATGTGAGGTTTGCAATGCTTCCATTTTTAAGCTGGGTCAGATTTTTTGTACGTATGTAAGAAAGTAGAGAGGAGTACAAGTGGTTTGCGGCCTTTTGAGACATCGAACGGTTTTATAAAAACAACCTTTTATACTTGATTTTAAACTAACAAAGCGTTTAAGAAGTGCCTGTTTAAATGTTACAATCTGCTTATGACTGCATACTGATTCTTCTATAATATGACAGTAAATTTTCACTTGATATAAAACGCAGATTTAATTAATAGTTTACTTCTTAAAATTCCTTTTAGGCTGAAATTTGATGTACTTTATTTCACTTCAATACAACATCTATTTCATTCGTAATCAGAATTAATATATTTCATTTGAGTCAGAAGACCTGAATGAAAAGCATTTCAAAGAGTCCAGGCTTTTTCTTGCCAATTTTGAAGTTTGGTGCATGCACGTAGCTTTTGTTACATTAAAACTTAAAGGCAACTTTAATATATATCAGATTTGCCAATTGTTTCCATGCAATATACTTAATGGCTGGAAGAGATTCTTGAACTTCAAATTCAGGAATTACTGTTATGCCTTGGATTGTTTTGACTACAGAATTTTACATTTGTGTAATCTAACGAGGAAGAACTTTTTGGAACTTTAAAGGATTTTTCAAGAAGTATTTTTGAAGATATTCCAGGTTGCCTTCAAGTTTTTCTTCATAAAGGAAGAGATATCCCATGGGACAGAATTTAAAATGTTACCTCAAGTTTTTGAATGCAATGGAGGGGGGAGGTGTATTGGCCCTCTAAACTATGATATTCAGCAGTGAATATCTGTCTTAATATTAGCCAAACAGTAAGAAGTCCCTTCGTTTATCACTTCCATAAAGTTAATTGAAAGTCATATAATCATTTGAGTTGTATGCCTTCTGAATAAATACAAAACTTTCTCTGGAAGAATATTGGATTTCCTTCTGTGCGTGCTGAGTAGGAAATACATATACAGGTCTAAGATGTGGGATGTGAAGATCATTGAAAAATTTCTGAGGTCTTAATTCAGAAAGATAGATAGTAATCTGAAGTTGTAAATCAGGTGTTTCATAAGCTGTATGTCACATACATTTTAAACCAAAGAAGAATGATGACGAAGAATACAAACAAGAATTGTCGTCAGATTTACCTCTTTTTGGTTTGCATGTGTATTGAATAAAACTTAGCAGCAGAAACCCCAAAATTAGTATTTTTTTTTTAATCTGGACACGCAGTTGTGATGATACTATTTGGCTGAAGACCTATGATACCATACCTTGAAGGGGCAAAGGAAGTTTCCAAATATTTGGAAACAGTAGTCCTTCAGGCAGAAAGTGTGAACAATGGAACTGTTGAGAATTCACACCTAAAGTTACTTCAGAACATTATTGTTTGATTTGTATACAGATGTTCTGTATACAAATATAAAATGCTTCATCGTACTAAAAATACCCACAAATTGTATCTTTAATCATAACATTTATGCTGACCTTTGTGAAGAGTTGATGGCTTTTTGAAAAGCCTGTTTCAATAATAATTTCTTACTGCTTATGTTATCAGTCTCTTGGGAGTTTACTAGACTCTAGAATAATGGTATATTACTTAGAATGTTATTAATCACCTAGTCATTGCTTGCCATTATAGTTTTATTTCAGTAGGGTGTCTTTAAAATCAAGCTCAACCATAGAATAAGTTTTTCTCCTAGGTGATTCAAATATGTTAACTTAGCTGCTTTGCCATCAATTCAGTAACGAGTGTCCCCACGCTCTCCAAACCAACACCTCAGTTGTTCTCAGCTGACACACTGCTGCAAGTGGGAACCATCTCAAGTGGGAAGGCTGTATGATTCCTGGATCATACCCGGGCTAAATTAACATACCTAGTGTAAGTTAGAGCTTTTTTTGGAAGGGGGCATTACTATGTAATATTTACTGGATGGATGACTTTCTTGGAGATTTCTGAACTTTCCTATCTTATAACTTGTACCAGACTTGCCTAGGTCACAAGCATCTGTGTTTCCAGGTATACTTGAGTCATCCAGGAAATTGAAACAGAAAGAAATCCCTGTTGACTAAAGCAAATGACAGAAAATGTTTTAATAACAAACAGCACACAATACCTGTTTAAAAAACACAAAATTATACTCTTTTTATGGTCATCTACTGTTGTATAGAAGACAGACAAGGAAATTCAACACTGTGCATTTTTTCAGTTTAAAATAATTAAGTAGCCATGTTTAAGTGCAGTGTTACTTGTTATATATATTAACCAAAAGAGTACAATATTTGCAAATGAGTGGTTTTTCTCTGTCTTAAAACCAAAAATTTTGTGCTAATAACCTGATTTGTATTTACATGTTCTGAGTTTAATATATTTCTCTTGGCTCTGAATTTGATTGAAAAAAAGAGGTTTAAGAGAAACGAATGAGGGAATTTCAAGGTAGGAAGCAGAACCTAATGATTTGGTGTTTTATTATTCAGCTGTACTGAGAATCAGCTGTGGGAGGACCTGTGATTGGCATAAGCATTACAAAGAGAGACAGGAATTAAAGTACATTGGAAAAGGAGGGATTAATCTGCATCAAAGTTTTTTTCTGTGTGTCAGGTAATATTACAACTTGGAAACTTGCTACTGTTAGATCAGAAGGAATACTGGAGATCAAATTACTTTTTAACCCATTGCTAGGAGAGCAGAGTTACACTGACTTCAGGTATTTCATATCTTTCTGTAAGTTTTTTGTGTCTATTTCCAGCTTGAATTCAAACAAATCAGTATTAGTAGCCCAGAGGAGGGGTAATTATTGGTGAAACAGACTATACACACATATGACTGGTCAGTATTTCTTGAGTTTAAACCCTTTTTGAAGATGTCAGTTCAGTTCATCCATTTTCATCAGTATTAACCATCGTAAACATCTGTCAGTTGTAGTAACAGCCATTTTAGTAAGAAACAGCCATTGCAAGCCATGACTTACACATGTACAATAAAATAAATCTGTGCTACTTCCTTAGTTCTGAGACAAAGGAGCTAAGACTATATTTTAAAAATCTGTTAAGACAAGCAAGAAAATGAGTTCTACATCTTGTCTCATAATGTGATATGGATCCTCTTTGCTGACAGTTCACTACAGATCTGTTCCAAATCAATCATTCCAGTTTCAGTACCTCCATATGGAGCATTTCTGCTTGTGTTATTAAGCATTTCTGTGTCATATATCCAGGATATAAAGGACTTTGATATCTGCTTTATATACCATTCCTGATCTTCAAAGTACGGTGACTTACTGTATTATTCTCCACCTGCCATTTTTCCTTGTACTGCAGCAGGTGTACATTACACTGTTAATTTAATCCTTTTGTTTTTATTTCTGGATTTGTGGTGTAACTTTTCTCGTTCGAGGTTTTGGCTAGTTGTAATTTTCCTGTTCTGAAAAAATTGTGGTAGTTGACTTTTCCTCTGAAAAATCTCATAATGCAGAGTCATTTTTATAAATATCCTTTTTATGCATTTAAGAAGTTGAAGCACCATTAAATACCTGAACACCCGTTTTAGTTTTGAACACTGACTAGTTGTAATATCTGTGGTATCAGATGAAATTTGATGTTGAGATTTACTATTGCAGGTAAAAGATATGCATTTAATCTAACAATAAAGACTGTGTGCCTTTGTCCAAATAAAAGAAAATTCTTTTTAATCCTGGCTGACTATTTATTGTGTTTACAGGAGAATTAATGTTAACCTGACTGAAATTCTAACTGAATTTGTCATCAATATTGAGAAGCACCCAAACTGAGGATTTTTTCTAACATTCAGATGAAAGTGTGCATGTCTACACACATGAGAAAAATCTGTGTGTTTTTACTGTACTAACTTTCTGCTCTCACTCTGCCTTCAGGAATGTAGTGAGTGCATCCTACAGTTAATTAGACAGACTTGACTTTTTCCCATTTCCAAATTTAAGTTCAGTTTATCCCAGGAAAAGTTTATGATGCTGCTTCTGTAGAAACAAACTGAATTGATTTCACAATAGATTTAATTTCTATTTGAATACATGTTCACTTCTTCACAGGCAGAATCATTAAAGACAACCTCCTTCTTATTCCTTGTTATAGAAAGGTAAGAGGTGACTAGTACTATGTATCACCAGTGAACATTGAGTAGATAAATATATATATATATGTTACATTACAGCTTATTCTTAAAGTTTATAATGTTGCCTGACCAAAAAAAAAAAAAAAAGAAAAAACAACAACCTAAAACTAGAAGCATAAACAATAAGCATTGGCAATAATTGTGTAGGTCCTTGAATAGGAGTTGCCATCTTAGGAGATTTTAACATCCGTGTCTTTTAGGTATTTCTTACATTATAAAGCTTGATTACAGATAGTAAGAGATAAAACCTGTAATTATAGATTACAAACATGGGTATCAATTTGTTATGAGAACTGGAATTCCTTTGAAAGGAGGTAATGAAAATGTACACACATTGGTGCTAATTCTCTGCCTTTTTTTTCTTGTAAACAGAAGATGGTCATGTTTTGAAATTAATCTGCTTATTGGTGACTTCATGTTATAACTAAGAAGTGTCTGAGCTCTGTGAAACAGCAGAAGGACACACTTACTATGTAGTGACAGCACAAATGAAAACTCTTCTTTGTACCAGAATATCTTCCAAAACCCAAAGCATAATTATAAAGAAAAATGGTGGTTTTTTTCATGCATGAGATTGTATATCAGAAAGGTGCAGCCTGATAATTGGCATCTTGGCACAAGCTCCATAAGGATTTATCTCTGGAAGTCAGGTTTTGTAGACCAAGAACGTGTGGAATGAAACTTTTTTTTTTTTTTCCCCCTCTCTCTCTTAGAAATGTTAACCTCTGCATTTGCCTGAAGGCTCCTTATAACAATGATGCATTTTAGAGAGTTTAAAACCTTGATTGCAACAGTGTAAGTGTGGTTACAGCCAGCTACCAAATATATTTAATGGGTGGGGACAATAAAACCACTGAGGCTTTGCAAGTTGAGACTGTCTAGAAATAACTCTCATATTTCTCTCTGAAGCAATTATTTAGAAAATGCTAATTGTTCCCAACTGAGTCACTTTTTCTACCCATTTAACTGCTTCTGCTCAGTACAGCTTGTCTAAAACATCACTCACAAAACTCCATAATGTGTTACTCTGGCTTTGTACAGAGCAGTGACATTTAAAAAAAGACTGACTACTTCCAATTCTTATTCAACAGATTATAGGGTTTATAAAACTGGTTTAAACAAGGGAGAAAATTATGAGAAAATGCGTGGGGTGAGACTGTGCGGGACTGAATACCAGGGAGAGGAACAGGTGTGTAGGAATGAAGAAAACCTAGGTTATCTCCAATAATTTTTCACGTAGTTTACAATACAGCAAGGATGACAAACTGGGTACCAGGCTGTGAATGAGGAGGCATCAATTTTGAACGTTACTTTCTGAGTGTTACCTAATTGGTGGTACTACAGTATTATCAGCTGGTATGGAACAGCTCAGCAGATGGTTGCAAGTCCCTTGCTAATGCACCAGGACTTTAAGGAGGATTTCTGATTTGCTTCTGAGCTCCCTTTTTGTTGCATCCTGCAGATTTAAACATTACAAAGCCCCATTCAACAACTGCTGAGATTAGTGAAAAACAAATGACACAGCTGCCTTTTCATTATACCAGATAGCAGAATGCAGGTGTTACAGAACAAAACAAAACCAAAAAGCTTTTAAAAAGCACTCTGAATATAATGTGAGTGATGTCACTAAGTACACTCTAATGTGATACACTATGCCTATTCTAATGCTGTGGTGCTCATGCGATATTTAAAAATAGAATAATTAAAAATATAGGCTTATGTTTACACACTTAGAATCACATTTTATGTAACAAGAACTGTATTCAGATGCTTCCTGAAATACAACCATTTAATAGCTGTACTGATTTGAAAAAATCTGCTGTAGGAAAGGCTACCTAGAATTGGCAGTTACTTGCTGGTGTAATGAGCAGTTATTTTTTTAGTATTAAAAATTGCAACCCAAAACTTGATTTCTTGAAAGTTCCTGCAAGAAGTGCAATCATTAATAGGTGTATTATAACTAATACCCAAGACTATTGAAAACTTGAGATTAAAAAAAAAAAACATTTCTATTTTTGGACTTTACTTAATAGGATCATCTGTTACTTACCTTCTTAACTTCATCCATTTCTCTGAGATTTCATATGTATGTTTTTGGCTGATCTGCATAGCAGCAGAAAAACACTTCTCCAGATGCACCTGACTGTAAATGCCCAGAACTGGTAAGAATCTCAAGAAAGGTACTTCCAGTAAGTGTGTTCTTTATTCCCATTCCTTTTAAGCAGCTGTCAGCAGTCTCCTGAGAAACTGTCTACTTAGTACTCAAATCCTTTTTATTTTACAACCTGCCAACTGAGTTTACGAGGCTTTTTGAATGCTGTTAATATTTTAGCTGGGACAGTTGAGAGTAGTTAGAAATGCACTGGCTGCTTCTGTGGGAGTGTGTTCCAATACTTGGAACCTGTTACAGGCAGTAATGAACTCACTCCGCCATACGAAGACTGGTGCATTGCTATGTGGAAATGTTCACTGATGCAAAGGCATTGGTGGCTGGCTACAGAACAATATTCTGAATTTTGTTAAAAGAGGTCTGCAGAAAGGTTGTAAATACTGTGTTAGCTCAATGAGAGGTTCATAGAATGGCCTAGGTTGAAAAGGACCACAAAGATCACCTAGTTCCAACCCCCTGCTATGTGCAAAGTAGCCAACCACCAGACCAGGCTGCCCAGAGCCACATCCAGCCTGGCCTTGAGTGCCTCCAGGGATGGGGCATCCACAACCTCCTTGGGCAACCTGTTCCAGTGTGTCCCCACCCTCTGAGTGAAAAACTTCCTCCTAATATCTAACCTAAACCTCCCCATCTCAGTTTAAAACCATTCCCCCTTGTCCTATCACTATCCACCCTCGTAAACAGCCGTTCCCCTCCTGTTTATATACTCCCTTCAAGACCCCAACGAGGTCTCCCTGGAGCCTTCTCTAAGCTAAACAACCCCAGAAGAAATACTCAAAGCTGAAACAACACCTGTATATCCAAAAGGCCAATGTGATAACGAATGGATAAATAAAACTGATCATAGGATCTGCTGAGTTGGAAGGAGCCCACAGCAATCACCAAGTCCAACCCCTGGTTCCATACAGGTACGCTCAAAACCAAACCCTGTGTCTGACAGCAGTGTCCAAATGCTCTTTGAACTCCACCACTTAGGGCCGTGCCCACTGCCCTGGGCATCCCGTTCCATGCCCACCGCCCTCTGGTGCAGACCCTGTCCCCAGCCCCCAGCTGCCCTCCCCTGACAGCTCCATGCCGTTCCCTCGGGCCCTGTCGCTGTCACACACAGCAGAGCTCAGCGCTGCCCCTCCGCTCCCTGTGAGGAGCTGCAGCCGCCATCAGGCCTCTCCTCAGCTCCTCTGCTCTGGGCTGAACCAACCAAGGGACTTCAGCCACTCCTCATATGCCTTGCCCACCAGACCGCCCTCACTCCCCCCCATCTTTGTTACCCTGATACCTTTTGCCTTTACGTTATGTAGTTAAACAAAGATGCAAAATTCTCAAGCTTCTACTTTGGAGCTTCTATCTAGAGACACAAACCTCTCAGGTGTGTAATTTCAGTATTCTTCAGTTTCTTAAACAGCACTAAGTTAATAGTTAAACAGTTAATACAAGTAGTTCTATGAGGATTCTACATTAGAAGAATATAATATATTCTAAAAGAAGAATATATTCTAAAATATAATATCTTGCTAAGACACCTCTTGAGATTTTTAGTGCTGAAGCTAAAATACAGTGCAGTTTACATACTAAATCTAAGGGAGCTCATCTCACCAAATTACTGTTTTCCTGAAATTGGAGCATTCTGTATATTTTGCCAGATTTTTGGTTTTTGTTTTTTTTTTAATGCCATGGAGGCAAAAATCAGTTAAGTGGTTTGGGAAATGCTTGTATCAATTATGCTTAATACTTGAATCTATTAGCAGTTTTTTTCTGGCCCCATGCTGTCAGAGCTGTGTGATTACAGAAATAATCAAACCAAATCAAACCAATCAAACCAAAGCTAGTTATGCAGGGGGCAAGTTGCAGGTAAAAGCTTTTTTGTTTGGTACATTTTCCTCTCTTAGGCTGTGCACCAGGCTGTACAGTGCTGTCCTCTAAGCTGCTGTGCCCAGACAGCTGAACCAGTGTATTTCAGGGCAGTATCATTAACCGAGTGCTGATAGGAAAACCTACCGGACAGCATGAATCAGCTTCCATTTATTTGCAAATTGGCAAAATGTCACATTCCTCTATGAAATCTGTGCCTGCTTTTCCCACTGCTCTGTTGCGAATAACAACCTGTTCTTATACCAAGGAACAGGAAGGTTTAAAGCAAGTCTCCTCTTGATTTGTCAGCCTCCCTGCTTGGCGTCGAGGCAGTGAGACACAGGATGCAGTTTATGAGGCGTTGGCACTACAGAGAATTTTCCTCCGTGTAATGTGGCAAAGTGCCATATCTCCTCACCAAAGAGGCCGAAGCAGAACACATTTCTCCTCATAATTATGCAAGAATTAAAATAATAAACTGTTTTGTGATCTTGGCAAGTGGTGCTCTGGATTTAAACGAAGTTTAATCACCTCTTGTGAAAGTAATAATTAAACTGCTATGTATAAAGCATCCTAATTTGAAATCGTGGGCAGAGTTTTCTTCTTCCTGCTCTGTCCCCTGCACAATGTTACATTATTTAGCTTGTTACACATTCTTGGCACTTAGAAGAAGAGATAAAATGACATTCCGAGGATTAA